CGGGGCTGGTGAGGAAAACAATGCGGGGGAAAAATGTGAATGAATTGTGGTACATGCCTGTGTGTGTATGTGTGTGTATCTGTTTATGTGTGTGTACTTTTTATGTGTTTGTATATGTGTTATGTATGTGTGTATTTTCGTAGGCTGCATATGTAAGTTGTGTATTTTGCATGTGTGTGTGTTTGTGGGTATGTTTGTGATATGCGTATGTGTGTGTGTCATGCGTACAAAAATATTTTGGGTATAATTAAAAAGAGATAGGCATATTAGTAGAAAGAATTATGAAAGATTACAAAAGTTTTCATAGGTAAATTAGAAAAGGGATTATGCAGATGACAATTATTTGAAAATTTTTATACGAAAAAGGGGTTGATTTTTTTTATAGAAATTGTCCATAAGATTGAAAAGAAATCTTTTGGTCCATGAAAAGTGTATATATAGGCATTACAATATATGTGTCTGTGTGAGCACTTCATTCCTGAAAAATATGGAAGCTTTTAAGCTGCCATTTGAGCTCATATAGCACACGATTGTTGTGCTAACTTCAATGGAAAAAAAAGTGCACACTGAATCAGCAGCTTACATTCTCATTTTGGGTCTCTAGCTTTCGGAGAAAGCATAAAGGGTATTATTAGAGCAGCTCTGTTTTCCGTTGTGAGTCATAAAATTGTTCACATTTATCGTTTCAGCTGAACTGCCCTTATATGCACTGCCCTTAGGCTCCGAACCCATCTGTTCTGGCCGCACTGCAGTTTTTCGGATGATTATCAATGATAAGGTCAGCCTTGTCATGAATGGAGCCCTTTTCTCGAAAATTGTTCTGGACCAGAAGGGAGTCGAACCACTCTCCTCTTCACGTTCTTGTGCTCCAAGTTCAGCCTGGCAGAACATTTACTGCGTATCTGTCTTTCAAGGCAAGATACACCTTTCTTCTTTATAATAGCTTCTTGGCTGGCTTCTCGTGAGTTTTTTCTACAACAATAATCATCCGAAAAATCTCAGTACTTTTTGTTAATGTTTTACACGGTGTTTTTGCTCTACGTGCCTTTTTTGTTACACACCCTCCTCCACATATTTTTTTGCTTCACAAAATTCTTCGTTTTACACCCTCATACTCTCTTATTTCAGATATCTTCAATCCAACACCGACGAGGGAGGAGAAACGAGTGCCCCTGTTGTGTTTTGTGAGATAAACAGTTGTTTTTATTGTGCTTTGTTAGGAATTTTTGGCCTACATGCTCTTCTTTTTGATTTACGCAGCTTTGATAATATCGCTTTTATGATCGAATTATTAGTTTTTCGTAATTCATAAAAATTGCGAAAAAAATTATTAGTTTTTCGTAACTCATAAAAATTACGAAAAACTAATAATTTTTTTTTCGGCAAAAAAAAAAAAATAAACGCTGCGAGCATCTGCTCTCGGGGAGGCTCCTTCATTCCAAATCACAGCTCTTCGATATCTCCATTTCATCTCGTCTAATGTATAAACATCCCGTGCATGGTGCTGCAAAAATAACTAATTAAATTTGCAGTGAAGCCAAAAAAAGCGCGTATTATTGCTGCACAGCTGTGGTCCTCCGTTCTAAGAAGCAGCTTCGCC